CAATTTATTGTTGGAATTATAGTCTTTTGGCATTATTGAGGACTGGCAGAGACTTAGAAGGTGGGTCTGACTGAAGTAAGCAGGCTGCACCCTATCTGCTGTCCTTGCAGCCTCACTCCTAATGAAAGACAGTGTGTCTTTAAAGAGTGTCATGTCCCTACCACCATCCTGTCTCTTTCTCTCCACTTCTCGGTGGATGTGAGGCAAACAACCTTTTCTCTCATTGAGATCCAGCTACCAAGATGTTCTTCTTCACCAGAGGCCCACGGCAATGGATTAAATCCAGAAGCCAAAATGCCTCTTCCCACCTTATAAGTTGCTCTCTCAGGTTCTGTATAAGAGAAGTAAAAAGCTTGGCTAGCACACATTTGATATCACAGATTTCCAGAAGTCCTCTGTAAGCATAAATCTGCAATAGACGCACAAGGAATGTCACCATTTGGGTTCCCTGTCACCTAAACATGTATGCATAAAAGGAGGTGCAGTCTCTAGCTGAGAAAGAGACCACTCAAAGAAGAATAGGGTGTTCCACTGAAGCATGTAAACATCCGAAACTAGCCATACAGAGTTACAACCATGCTACTTTTGAGATCTGGTGTCATGACCAGTGCTAAACAGTCATGTTCTAATGCTATCACTGATGTCAGAAGTTTCCAAGTCATTCTTGAACTTCCTTTGCTCATCCATATCACCTGTATTTATACCTACTTCCAAACCCTCATTGCTTTCCATCTCATGCCCACCCCACCATGCAGGAACTCCAGAACTTGCCAAGTACCACACGCTACTCTTCAAATGTGAGGCAGCGTGAAGGTGTGAGCAAGAGCTGGGACAATGAACATGGATGTTATTTTCCTCTAAGCAAGCTCTGTCAGGATGTTTGGGTTTACGTAGACTCACACAGGAAGATGGGAAAGGAACTTACATATCAAAGTTTTGAGAGAATTTTCACAGATTTTACACTGATTTGAAAAGTAACAAAGAGACGTTAGCCTCCACATAGAGTGAGGCTGCCCGGACTATAGGTAGGAAGACACCAGAAGCAATAGCACTCCCAATATGAAAATGAAGAGGAAGGCATGGGGCACCATGAAAATGACAAGCAGTATTCACTCAGCACTTATGCCACCACAGCTCAGCATCCTTTAGGTAGCTGTTAGGTAGACTTCACCCACATCACTGCCACCAGAAGCTCTACAGCCACTTCTTCTTAAATATCTTCACTCTTCCTTTGATAAGGCAGCAAGAGTGGAAGGGAACCACCCAATAGCTTTACCCCATCAGTATGGGCATAAAGAACCTAGGGAAAGGAACTTAAGAATGTCCCTACTGAAGTCTGGGAAGATGATTCAGTCAGTAAACTGAGAAACTGAGTTTGGAAGGCCAGCACCCATGTAAAGTTCAGGCACAGCTGGCCACAATGCTTCTGCAATCATGAAACAGGATTGCTGGGGAGATAGCTCAGTAGATAGAGAGATGTTGGCTATTTAAGTCACTAAGTTAAGGTCTTCATCACCCATATAAAAGTCAAGTGTTATAGTCAACACATCTGTAACCCCAGTGTTGGTGAGGAGTAGGGAAACAGGAGCATTGCTGAGGCTTGTTGGCCAACCAGATTAGCTGAAAAACAGTAAGTTCCATGTTTAATGAGAGATGCTGCCTCAAAGAGATAAGGTAGAAAATGAGGGAGGAATTTGCATAGCATCCTTCTCTGGCCTTTGCACAGGTGCATACACACACACACACACACACACACACACACTATGCTCCATACACATTCATATGGTTTTTATTTAGGTGCTGAGTATCCAAACTCAGGATGTAATCCTTGTACAGTAGGCACTTTATTTGTGGAGCTATCTCCCCACCCTTTAGAGACAGCTCTTCCTTTTAGAAGCCTTTAATTTTATTATACATATATAAGTGTTTGCCTGCATGTATGTCTGTGCACTGTACACTGTGTGTGTGTGTGTGTGTGTGTGTGTGT